TTGAGGCGATGTGTTTTTCTTTTCTAAACTATACATTTTATGAAGTGCTTTGGATTAAACGTTAATTAGACTTATTTTTACATCAGTTAAAAAGTTTTGAACCATATAAACTATTCTTTACAAGATGTAAGTACGACCATAAGCTAATATCATATAAAACTCCTGTCAAACTGCTTTTATATATATATATACAATAAAACTGACGATTGGTACTGTATAGAGTAGTTATAGATAAATAAATTCTTTCATATATTTTTAATAAATGAGAATAAGTTGATTTCGAAATTCTTTATTGTCAACTTAAGTAAATGAGAATAAGAGTTTGTTTGGGGCAGCTGCAGCTTATCCAGATAAGCAGCTTATCCTTATAAGCTATTGATCAGTTGTTGGTTCTGATAAGCTGGTTAGTTATTTGGGGCAGTGAAAACAGCTGATTTGCAGTTGTTTGTGGATAAATAACCATTATGTCCCTGTTAAGTAATGTTGTTTTCTTCTAATATTTTTCAATGAATAATTTGTATGCTAACCCAAATAAAATAAAAACAGACATTCCAAATAAAAATGGTTTCATAGAGTCAAACGAACATTGAGCCAAAAATAAAAAAGACAACATAGGGATTAAAATGTAAGTGAAATTTAACTTAAATCATACAAAATTTTGCCTTGCGAACCCCTATTCTCCGTTACAAACCTTCCCTCAAGCGAAGAAAGAAAGGCTCGCACGGGTTTTTTGAAAAATAATTGAAGTTAAAATATAAGCTTTGCTGCATTCTTTACCAGGGATTGCTCTCTGGAGCATTTCATCAATCAGTACCAGCAAATTTGGATCATTTAACAACACATGGGGGAACAAAACGGATTCTGTAAAATAATGAAGGGATGCTTTTGCTCGTTCAAAAGGAAAAAAATGGCAATCGTAGGTGAATTCAAAGTTTCACCTTTACTGTCGAGCTCTCGTCATGACTTTCAGTTTTTAACTCTTCTTTGTCTTCGCCGTCATCATCTCCACCATTGGTGCAAGAATGAAACTGAGCACTGGGCACTTAGCTTAAATCCGCAAGTCTCGCAACTTCCATTTCGTCACTAGCCGTTGGTGTCATCGATGCTTCGCTGCGAGAGGGGAATTTAGGTAATCTTTGGTAGCGATCGAAGCGACCAGAGGAGAGGATCGGCACGGGATGAGGGGTGCGCGAGAGGGCACGGGGGTTAGAGGCGTAAAGCCTCTTCTCCGAACGCTGGCCATCGGGTCGAACCCACAGCCTGCGTTTATTACAAAATGAAAATGACGTATCGCGAAACACACTGAAGACGGGGAAAACAAACGCCATGGTGGCGTTTTCAAAATCCAGACGCGGCGAATAAGCTGCACCAAACGTAGCCTAAGTTGACAACACGTCGAAGCAAATAGGATAACATGATAGGAATGATATTCTATGATAGTGTTTAATTATTAATCACTCGACACTTTAGAATATAAAAAAAAATGGACCAGGAAATATGCTGGAGGAAAGTTTACTGGTTGAATCGCCTCATGCTGATCTCTGTGATAAAAAGGAGAAAGATCAGAATAAATGAAGAAAAACTAGTATAAAATACAACAACAAAAGATGTTTAAATTCATGTACTAAAACTGTGGCAGTCGATTATCAATGGGCTGCTCATCATGTATGAAACAAAAAACAGCTTTACGTAATAATAATAATAATAAAATTCACTTGAGATTACAAAGGTTTTTTTCAGAGGCGATTGAACTAATCTGACTGTCAAGGCCACTCAACTTGCTTATATTTTAAATTGAATTTCTCAGGAAAGCATAATACTCCCAGGCTGTGCCTTACATTGCCAGATTGCATTAGGCATTTAGTTGCTAATTTCTCAATTAACATACTTTAAACTTCAATCTCTTAGAAACTAGCAATGGAATGTGATGGTGATCCTGAAGAAGTTTTGTGCCTTTGTTTGCGGCGATAAATTTGATTTATAGTCCCTTTCCATGTGCTGTAGAACTAATTGTGGCATATCAGAGTTTATTTACTTGTGGAGTGGACGAGGCTTTGGAATTCTTTGTGCATAGATTTTTCCCTTGTATTAAAGAAGTAAACACAATGTTTTGTTTCCATTGTCACTTTTACCACATTTCTACTGTAACCTAACGAACTCTTTGTCTCTACTGAGTTTGAATGCATGTTAACTTAGTTCTTAGATTTGATGGATCTATGACTCTTTGATGTAGGCACTATGAAGAACATTAAGATTATGTGCAACCTAAGGTGTAGATGGCCTGCCATTACTAGCTGTTGGCAAGTCTACATTATTTTCTGTTCTTAATAGACGCCAACATGAAACTTATGTGATGTGAATGCCCAATAATCATTTCTTGCGCCCTTCATATTGTTATTGACTATTATCATAATCTCACAAATCATTTGCTCAATATTTCTTAGTTGTATAATTAGGAGAAATATGCTAACAATTCTGGGTTATTATCAATTCATATATTCTTGTGAATTTGGGAGCATATGCTAAGTCAAAAGAATTGTCGAACCTCATTATTATGTTTTTTAAAGTTGTATTTCATTTGAAAGAACCATTTTTAACTCATATGATAAGAAGAAGATTGCTAAATATAGCTCTTTTATAGTATCTTTGTGTGTGGCTTCTTGAGATACTGAAAGTATAGTTTGATCTCAATAGATATCAGGTGTGAATAGGATGGTGCCATCCGGTCTGTCTTTTTATTTGCACCAGAACAGCACAATTTTTTTTTCCATTTCAAAATAAGTAGGATTTATTCTTTCATTGAACTTTTTTTGTGATATTAATACATTGAAAATTGTTAACAAGTAGGATTTTTTCTCCTGTTGGTTCAGTATTGATTTTGTTTTGTCCAAACTATATATATATGAAAAGTACAAGGGCTGATTTTATTGAAATAGAAAAGGATACATAAAGGTTGTATGAGAAGAGTCCAAAGAGACACCCTACCCATACTATACAATTACATAAAAACTCCAACAAAAGGTACGGATAGACTCAAAAAAATAAAAATAAATAATAAATTTAAAACATGCAGAAAACAGTAGTTAGAGACGAGCCAGTTTAGTCCTGTCTCTTCCTCTAGTTTTAGAAGCGGAATCAGATAACAAGCTTTGAAGTGTCGTGCCATTGTCAGGAGTCACCAAAGTATCATCCATTAAGTTTCCAAGCTGGAATGAGCCCCCAGGCTTCTTCTTACGCCTAGAAGTGTAAACCTGTCATTCTTCATCTGAAGATTGGTTCATATGATTCTCAATTTGATTTGATATTTAAACCGCAGTAGGAGGAAAGACAGTCATTGCCACCGCGATAAGTTCCAGTATATGTAAAGTGTGAATTGTTACCTCTGCACTCGATGCTTCCTGAGTAGGAGCTGCGGGACTATGTTGATTTTCAGTTCGAACATTATCCATTGTAGTATGGTCAGGAGAAGGGATCTCAGGGGCAGACACCAACTTCTGTCTTGTGGTGTTTCCCTCCTCAGGTTGGCTGTCATCAGGTTTGCTGTCTTCAGGTTTTCTGGGAGCGCGTTCAGGCACATAAAGTGTACTAAAAGTGTGTTCCTGCTTTTGACTATTGACACTGTGGGTGCAATTTGAAATATTTCTTCTGCAGGTGTCCAAACATCTTGCAGTGCTTGCAGTAGTATCGTTTTTGTTCCATAATGATTTTTTGCCAATAACCATTGTGAGCAGATCCAAGCCAGACTTCTTCTACATCCGGTACTATAATATCTCGTTTAATCAAAATCTTTGAAATAGAGGGTCTTGAGAAATGAACTGTGAAATGAACTGTAGGAACTGTAGGTAAATCTACCTGCAAATGTTTTCCAAGTATAGTCCCAATTGCATATAAGATAGGTAGATCAAAGAAAAGAAACTTGAGTTCAGGTAATGAGAACCAGATAGGTGCAATTGGGGGTCCATTTGAGCAATTTCATATGTTTGCCCTCAATTGTGTTGAATTTCTTTGAGGAAATCCTCATGTAATCATCTTCTGTGCTCAGCTGTATCATAATATGTCTTCCATCGAAATGACCCATCTGTCAATCCCCAACCAGTTTGAAATCTTCAAAAACCTTTCTGATCTTCATCTTCGGGCAACCTAAGAGTTGAAATTTTAGCGTCAGAGAAGAAAATTGCTGGTTTGCCCGCCTTTTTCTCTACTTTTTTTATGAGATTGCAATCTTCATTTCCTGCAACAGAATCATGGTAACTCTGCGGGAATACCGCACTATCTGCGAGGTGAAAAGGGAGAAATGTTATATATATATATATATATATATATATATATATATATATTAATGCCAACCAGATCCTTCGCTTTTAACATAATTCTGAATCTACAGGAGAATGCATGTGCTTTATAAGGTTCTGCTTCCATATAATGCTTTTCCTGTGATTTGTTCTGCTTGTAATTTTTTTTGGGCTCATTATGCAGCTTATTTATTTGCACTATTTATAGTACACGTATATAGGTGTACTTTAGAGTTAATTACTTGATAGAGTTTATGGTGGAGTATTGGATAAGAATATGGTTGTGATTTTCCATCTAATGCCGTAATAATTGTTTTTACTCCTATCCATGTATAATATATGTATTTACGGGTTAACATAATCATAAATTTTTGGTATAGCTTTGGTTTTCTGGTTCATGCAATACCAAAATTTATGCGACTTGATGGAATCTTGTAGATTTTGATTTCATGAATTCAATTTTTTTTGGTTTTTGCTTTTGTAATGCAAAAACGTTTCATTCTTGTTCAGTACTTTAGTGCATGTTATAAACTGTTGGCCTATATTTTTTAAATGTGTAGCCATGTTAAAAGTTTAAGGAGATTTGGTTCAGAATGGGTCGAAATATTAACCGTTGGTTTCTGATGCCTTAAATATTGTTTCTCTTCTTAATTCTAGATGTTTAAAAGCCTGTAACCAATGACAGTTCTTTTATGTGCAATTTTTTAGGCGATATGTTCACTGAGGAACAACATGAGCTGGTTGAGTCTGCAGCAGAGATGCTGTATGGCCTGATCCATGCTCGCTACATTTTGACTGGTAAAGGAATGACTGCGATGGTGAGATCTCTTATTCCTTGAGCTTTTGTGCTGCATAAATGTTATACTTATTCTCTAAAATGAAATTCTACAGCTCGAGAAGTACAAGAACTATGATTTTGGAAGATGCCCAAGGGTTTATTGCTGTGGTCAACCCTGCCTTCCGGTTGGTCAATCAGACATCTCTCGATCGAGTACTGTGAAAATCTTTTGCCCCAAGTGTGAAGATGTTTATTACCCTAGAATCAAGAACCAAGGCAGTATCCTTTCTTCTTTAAAGCTTCGTCTACTTTGATAATTAAAATTTTATGAATTTTCTGTTGTGTTTTTTTTTTTTTCAGTTTATTTGTAGTCATTGATATCTAAGGCTGTATTTTGCAATGATTTTTGTTAACTATCTATGCATAGAAAAACTAACTTTTAGGTGTTTGGTTAGTGAACTGATTAATGAAATGCTTAGAGATGAGGATTATGGAAGAACCATGCATGCATACTTTTTAAAATGAAATTTTATTCAAAACTATATTGAATTTTTTAAAGATAAAAACTATACCTAATCTTTTTGTTATTTATCACAAGCATCTATGAAAATTGTTCAGAAAGGAAACTTGAGAGCCAAACAATCATTCCCTTGAAAATGAAATACATCACAATAAAAAATAGGAAGGTTTACATACATATGACTTAGATCCTATGTATTTGCATATCTGACAGCTAAACTTAAATTGTTACATATTTGTGTCTTTATATATGCATGACAAAGTATATTTCACTTTTTAGAAGTTAAAATAGTAGTATTTTTTATGTGATATGAAAGATTTGGGCGGTAGAAATGGAAAAAACAAACTTTAGGTGTTAGATATGTAAACACGCAGAAATTGGGTCGTATGTATGTAAACTCTCCTAAAAAATAGCACAACCTTAGACAATATTGTTGAACAATATCTGAATTTGAGCATGTTAGAAATGAGAATGTTACTGTAAATTTATGACAAAATTAGAACTAATAATTAAAAGCATGATTACCTTACAGGATTTGTTGGAGTGACATCTTTTGAATATATGATAATTTAAAAGAGACTGAAATATTTTGGTCATGTACAATATGGGGTAGAAAATATACCTATTAGTCAATGAGATACAAGTAGTGTTCGAAAAAATATGAAGATGAAAGGGCAGATCTATGTTAAATTAAATAGAAGTTATTCAAAATGATTTGCTAAAATAAGTTCAACAAATCTTGCAGCATGCAACTAAAATGAATGTTAAATGAAGATTTAAAAAGCTGACCCCAAATGGTTTGGCTAAGATAAATGAAGATAATGATATGGTTTTAAAAGGGAAACAATGTGACCATTCACTATGACAGGAATGAACTGCATTATTTTGGTAGTGTAAGAAATTAAAATCGATTATCTTTTCTCTTTCAATTTACAAGAACAGCCTTTTTTTTCCTCTAAAGAAATCAAGCTATATGGAGTTTTGAAGTTTGAACAAATACAGTAGATTCATTTCAGAGATTTTATACTTGGGATGGCATGAGAACTAAACGATTTTTTTTTTGCGCTGCCCAAAAGGATAAAATTTGAATTTTCTTTATTTTCCCAAGAAAAATTATTATGGGCATTTACATACATAACACACAATTCTTTTGTATTTACATATCTAACTCCTAAAAATTCATATTTCCATGCATATCACTTAAATCTTTAACATCACATCAAAAATACCACCATCACTATTCTTTTTTAAAGTCGCTTTCCCTCCTTGTTGAGTATCTTTTACTCGTATTTACGGTTAATGCTATCTGTTGAGAAAATTTCTTGACTATTTGTAGACATTGATGGAGCTTATTTTGGAACAACATTTCCTCATCTCTTTCTAATGTCGTACCCTCACCTGAAGCCCCAGAAGCCCACCCAGCGATACATTCCCCGAGTTTTCGGCTTCAAAATTCACAAGCCCTGATATAAGACTCAGGAAGCAAGGCCCCAGTTCTCCCAGAATGGAAAATCCGCCCTTTTTTTTAAACCCCTTTTTAATTCAACTTTTTAGCTATAGCATGAGGAATTCATCATCATGTTATTGTTTATTTTTAATTAGCTGTAGACAAGAAATGTGTGTAAAACCGCTGTGATTGATTATTAATTTGCTTGTGTCAAATTGATAATTTTGCTTTGCTGTTTTAGCTTTAAAGCTCTGCCTTTGTGTTGATTATATCTGCATTAATCTTGTAATATATTGACATCGGCTTCTGCATTTCCTTATTGTTTGAGAAATTGCGTTGAAATCATTCTTCATTATTATATAATGTCACATGATTTGATTGACCGCAGCTTTCGGTATAATTCTGTTTGAGTCATGGAGTGGCATGTGGAGGTTATTTCTTCTTCGGATAAGGAGATTTTAGGTGTAAGTTGGAGTATATTTATGGGTATGTATGATCCAATCGTACTAAATTAGAAATTAGGAAGATTTACATACATGCCACTTATTTCCTATGTATTTTCATATCTGACACCCAAACTTCAATTTTTACATACATGCGACCTTACCTATGCATGAAAAAAAGTGTATTTCATTTTTTTAACCCTAAAATCATAATATTTTTACGTGTAATAAAAGATTTGGGAGGTATAAATGTAAAAAGTAATTGTTGTTAAATAAAGAAATACATAGGAATCTGGTGTTATGTAAGTAAATGCCCTTTGAAATTATTGCGGTGTAATGATGTATCATGGATATTTCCTTATTGGGCTTATTGGTTTTGATTAAATATTGAGGTTAATTGTTAATATTATTGGTGTAATGTTGTATTATAAATACTCTCACCCCCCCATCCTTTTGTGCCAAATCACTTATTTCCTCATTCTTCTCACCACCACTCAAGTCTTCTTCAGTCTTCCATTTTACAAACATATATTAAAAAAATCTCAAACCCTCACTATCAGCACAAGCTATCTCTCAATTAAGATAAGGTTGGCTTATTTCACCCTCAATCTTATCCTCTCTCCCTCCCTCTCTCCCTCAACACCTCTTTTATTGCCTTTCTCAGCAAACTTAATACACCACCAAGTGATCTCTACACTTGAGTCTTTTTCTGCTTACAACAATATCAAAAAGAGTTTCAATTCAGGTAAGGAGTTTCATTATTCATGCTCAAAGTTACAAATGCCAATTATTTTTCCACTGTTCTTTTCAGAAACTTGAAGAATATCAAAGTAGGCAAAGTTGAAATGAGTTTTAAGTAGTTTTAAAAGGCTTAAATATTTTTATGAAATTTTTCTTAATTTTTCTTCAAGGAGAGTAATCATTTCCGCTCCACATTGATTATATATATATATATATATAAGCACGTAAGCATCTTAATAGATATTGATACCTTAAAACGTTGGAGGGTGCACAAATTGAATAATTTTGGGATTAATGTATTCACATAAGCAAAAAGTGTATGACATATTGGGGCACCTAAAAGTATCAGAAGAGACATGTGCCGTCTTATGTCTTTTGTTATTCGGCTCTAGGATATACATGTATGTACACACATACAAATATGAAACTCAACAATATAACAATCTAAGGGTGAAAAAATTCTTTTACATTTAATTATCTAAAATTTGTTTCAAATTTTTAGAGTGCATGTTGTTGAAGGGCTTAAGAATTTTTTCCCCATAATTTCTTTGGATTTTTTTTATTTTTATTCTTATTGCCAAATGCTTTACCCTTGTTTATTTTTTCAATGTAGTTTTTTACTTACAAGAAATGTATAGAGATTGATTGGTTGCATGAAAACTTGTATAAAAATAATGTATACTATGTAAACTCAACTTTCTTTACTTAATTTTGAAGTGAAATTTGTGAACTTGAAATATTTTTGGTAGAAGAGCCCAACAAATAAAATGGTAGACCAACACCACATTTGCTAATTTATAATATTCAAGTTAGAATTTTGATGACTTGAGACCCCTTATATTTGTGTTAATGTTTGGTATTTTTTCGTTATGAATAAATGTAAACAAATTTTCCACGCTTACGTCTTACGAGTTTACATGAGATTTTGTAGATATATTTGGACAAAGCATATTATAATTTAGAGTAGTTCTGGTGAAAAGAAAGAGAATTTTAAAATATTTCAATTTAAACAATAGTTTATTTTATCTTTTAGATGTGGGTTGCTAAGATTTTCCATCATCCCCATTCTTGATAACAACCTAGCAAGCACACCTATAGCTCGCATCTCCTTATGCATATTTATAGCCGTTCTAATTGTCGATGAGACAAACCCAATTTTACCAAGAACACTTGGAATTGATTTAAAATTGGCTAAAATAAAGTACTTAAAAAGAATAATAGAAAGCTCTAGAGTATCCAAAATTTCCAATTTTTTGGCACTTATAGTAAGGTAAATTTAAAGAGTATATGACCACTCAATTTTGAGTTCATTAAGGAACTAAACATTCCAAAAAAATATAAAATGATGAGTACTTACTAAAAATATCTAATAAAGTGTCCAAAAATTTTATAGAAATGACTAGAGTGCCCTCTTCATAGATCAATAAATATTTCATGTATGTGTGTGTGTTATATATATATATATATAATGAGGATGTCTAGATGAGAAAATTCATACAGTGAGTTTTAGAGCCTTGTTCTTCATTTAGAATTATAACCTACCTTTTTGTGAAACCATTTAAGTAGATTGAAGCCACTCTTAAAAATCGATGTGTCTTTTGGTATAACGGTGGAATTCATTAAAAACCCCAAAATTAAGTGTGCTCGTCCTTAAGCACTCCTAGGAAGTTATACCAATGAGGCAAAGTCGTGATGTCACTATGCCAAAGTGGACAATATCTTGATGGGTGAGAGTTCGGGCTATCACAAATTGTATGAAAGCATTATACTGGTCTAAAGACACGAACTAAGTGACATACAAAACAAAACGCTATGCCACCTCTTGAACCTCTTATAGGACAAAATGCTACATGTTGCAATCCACCTCTTGAATTTGTTGGTCCCTCCTCTAGAATCCTATATACTTGGTGGATGATTCTAGGTATAGATCACTGACGAGAATGTTAGGTATTTAAGTGAGGGTGATTGTGAAACCCTTTATGTAGATTGAATCTGAACTCTTAAACATCGAGACTCTTTTTGTGTAATGGTTGAATCTAATTAGAAACTCCAAAATTAAGTATGCTCATATTAGAGCAATCCTAAAGCGGGTGAACTTTTGGGAAGCTACACCAAATGGGGCAAAATCGTGAGTCCATTTGGCTAAAGTGGACAATATCTTGATGGGTGGTGTAACGGTGGAATTTCATCGAAACTTCAAAATTAAGCATGCTTATGTTGGATAATTTTTAGGATGGATGACCTCTTGGGAAGTTACACAGACGAGGCAAAAGCATGGGGTCATTTGGGCGCCGTAGCGAACAATATCTTGATGGGTGAGAGTTCGGGCTATCACAAATTGTATGAAAGCATTATACTGGTCTAAAGACACGAACTAAGTGACATACAAAACAAAACGCTATGCCACCTCTTGAACCTCTTATAGGACAAAATGCTACATGTTGCAATCCACCTCTTGAATTTGTTGGTCCCTCCTCTAGAATCCTATATACTTGGTGGATGATTCTAGGTATAGATCACTGACGAGAATGTTAGGTATTTAAGTGAGGGTGATTGTGAAACCCTTTATGTAGATTGAATCTGAACTCTTAAACATCGAGGCTCTTTTTGTGTAATGGTTGAATCTAATTAGAAACTCCAAAGTAAAGTATGCTCATATTAGAGCAATCCTAAAGCGGGTTCACTAGTTATCAACATCGAACAATTATCTTTCCAATTTCTCAATCTTATCCTCAATGAAAAGAACAAACATGTTGAATTCTCATTATTGCTAAACTTCCAACTTCCAATAGCTTGAAGCCACTAAAGACTGATGACACTTTATCACTATCAACCACCAACATAAAATTCTTCTCTTGTCAATCGTTGGAACCTCCATTATAGTATGAAAGTGAAAAAGCAAGCCTCCACCATCATGCTGTGTAATGTTTACAACATATCTCTTTATGCATTGATTTAATATTATTCACTTCAGATTATAAATTTATGTATGAGCTTCTCATAGACAATATTTTATGAGAGGATTTATATACATACCACATAACTCTTACATATTTATATATCTAAACTATAAATTTTAATATTAACTTACGTAAAATTTTAGGATCAATCACATCAAAATATATACATTACAAAATTTAATACTGATATATTCTTAGGTGATTTAAATATTTGAGTATTATATAAAATTAAATATTAAAGTTCATACATTAGCTATATAAATACATAAGTTTTATGTGATGCTATGTAAAGTTTATTTGTTGACAGAAATTTACAAACATACCCTACAACTCATATATTTACATTATCCAACATATAAACTTACATAATACTTAAAAAATCTAAAACATCATGTCAAAAATATCATCTACACTAATTTCCTTACCAAAAAAAACATATTTTTATACAATCTATACATTAGCTATATAAATACATAAGTTTTATGTGAAGCTTATGTAAAGTTTATTTATTGACAGAGAAATTTACAAACATTCCCTACAACTCATATATTTGCATTATCTAACATATAAAATTACATAATATTAAAAAAATCTAAAACATCATATCAAAAATATCATCTATACTAATTTCCTTACAAAAAAAAAAAAAACATATTTTTATACAATCATATAAAACAATCATCTCATTAATTTTCCCCTAAAACTCCAATTTTTTTCAGATATAAACCATCAAATGGAACAGAACCATCAAACAACTTCATCGTCATCACCACCGGAAGCATTCCCTCAACATCCCACCTTCCACCAACTGCTCCAACAACAGCACCAACAGCTCCACATGTTCTGGAACTACCAGCGCCACTCAATGGAGCGCACCGCCGATTTGAAGAACCACTTGCTCCCCCTCGCCCGCATAAAAAAAATCATGAGGGCCGACGAAGATGTCCGCATGATTTCAGCAGAAGCCCCCATACTGTTCGCGAAGGCCTGCGAGCTCTTCATCCTTGAACTCACCATTCGTTCGTGGATCCATGCGGAGGAGAATAAGCGCCGCACGCTGCAGAGGAACGACATCGCGGCGGCGATTACCCGCACGGAAGTGTTTGACTTTCTTGTGGATATTGTGTCGCGCGAGGAGATTAAGGAGATTGTGGTGACGGCGCCGCAGCAGAGGGGGGAGGGAGGGGCGGCGGGTGCGGGTGTGCCGTACTATTATTCGGCGGTGGAGGCGGCGGGGGTGGGGGGGGGGGGGGCGCCGGG